ACCAACACCCTGGTGATGCTGAACCATCTGACAATCTCCTATTATTGTTTGCACTACTGTCACTGACTGTACATGGTTTTGAGTCACAGCTTATTGGCTGTACTGTTTAGATTTATCCTAATTATGTTAATCCAGTTCTTATTTTATTCTATTCTATTTTTATTCTACTTTATTCTATCTTAGTTCCTAAATGTTATGTCACCCAATACTAGGTGAGAAACGGTATTTCGATTTCTGTATGTCTTACACATATGGTGAATTGACAATAAAATCCTTGAACATATTCAAAATACAAAGATCTAGTTTTAAGTACTGTTGCCACGATTGGTTCCTAACTCGTTTCTAGCTAGCTCTTAGCCATTGTGCACAGCAGTGGGATCCAGTCACGTGACTGACAGTGGGTCCATCGTGTCAATAAGAAGATACACTTTTCTAATGCAGTGGCAGAAGGACTGCTGGGTGAACACCTCTTTCATAGGCCAATGATTGTCACCTTGAGGTCTGTGCAGCCAGTCTCTCTTGCCATGCTGGAGGGATAATTATTCTCAACCATCATTTTATCTCTGTCCTCATTTCTGTCTCACACACGTACACACACACACACACTTCCTATTTGGCTTTCACTGATGTACTGACAGTTACTCTTTCACTTTTCCTGCTCACTTTGTACAAATTTCTCTGTTGTGTGGTAATATTTGGTGGGCAACCATCCCTTGCAGCAGCCATGCACCCCTCTTGCTGTTAGGTCTGTTCCCATTGTCGCCATTTGACAAAGGAGACACTTTGTGGACTGATGATCTAACTGACTTTGTGTTGCACTGAGTGAGGTGGCAGTGATGGACAGACTGGGAGAGGAGGCTTTGGCTCCAGCCAAGAATGAGTCATGCCAAGCCTGAAACTGCTAGCACACTCACTCAGCCCATTGTCAGCCCGCTACAGTCAGCTGCAGTCCGTCAGCCAGCACTGAACATGACTCGGCATGAGCAGTGGTCTTTATTCTTCAATCATGATTCAAAACGTGAGGTATAGTCTGGCCATGCCGCCTCTTTAGATCCACTGTTGACGTTATCTGAATTATTGACATTGTCAGCCTATCTGAATTTTAGGATGAACATTTACTCTGTGACCAAAATGGGCATCGGATGTGACAACCTATCATTTTATCTTGTATAGTTCGTCATAGTAAACAACCACCAATGCTAATCTGGGGCGGTTCACAGCGTCCAGCATGTCAGAATTTTTTTCTACTTCTCTGACATGGGAATGCTGAGCAATCTTTTACTCACAACACCCTTGTCATAAAGGACTGAATCATACTTATTAAAGTACCCTGTAAGGGCTGGCTTGTTAAGTGTTTTATTACTGTTGCAACCCTAGTCTTTTGCATAGGGAGCAGTGAATAAGTGAGCAAGGGAGTGACTGTGAAAACAGCCAGTGAGTCTGTGTGCTAGGCCCAATGTTTTCCTCTATAGTTGTTTATGTTGCAAAAATGTATACACCATGGAAAGTCGTGTTTTACTGTAGCTAGTAGCAGCTGCTAATGGGACTGTAACCATGGACGTAGAGACATCAAAGACTTGGATTAATTGTGAGAGAAGAGTCTTTTTCTATTTTAGGCTACATCTAGGGTGTTTTTTAAATTTTTTTTTTTTTTAGATTACATTGAGATACACAGATGTGGTTGATGTTTTATTATTTTGCAGTACTAAATGCATAGATCACTAAGTACTGAGGGTTGAAAATGCATGAAAGAAAGACAAAGCCACTGTCAGGTCCTCTCTTTCTTTTTTTCCTCTCCTACTCTCCCTTTTTGCGGGATCAACACCTCAGCGTGTGTCGCATCGGATTATTAGTGATTTGTTGGCTTCCCTATTTATACCTCTGGCAGACGCCCTTTTGTGGCCGGAGCTCTGCGACGTGCAACGTACTATACTTAAAGTTATACAAAGGTTGTGTTTGACTCGCATTTTTTTTTTTTTTTTTTTTTTTTTTAAGATGTTTGTAAGATGCTACGCTGACAGTCTTTGTGCGTTTTGGCTTGACCTTATCACGCTAATTATGCCTAGTTCCTGTCGTTAGTTTGTGTGTTTACCGTCCTGGTCTCCTTAGTCATCACTGCCCTTCCCTTGTTGTATGTATTATGGACCCTGTTTTGTTGTCATGTTGTTTTTATTCCATTAAACCACCTTTTTTGTACTAGCACCTGGGTCAGCCATCTTGAGTCCAACCCCAGTTCTCCCTCACCCTCCTGGTGAGGGGGACTAAACCATAACAGCCACTGGAAATCCCTTGAGAGAATGGAGATGGAAGAAGCTGACTAAGGGGTCAGGATGGAATGAGAAGCAAATGGAACAAGCTGAAAAGAAGTGCCAGTAGGAGAAAGGAGTGTGAGCATTTTTGGGGTGCTAGGTACTACAAGAACAATTGACATGAGTCTGGACATGAATAAGAGTATGGTGTAGCTCAGGTTAAGTAACAGGTAAAGAAGCAGGAGAGTACAGAAATCAAAGGTAAAATTGACTGAATTAAGGAGGAGTCCTTGATGATATAAGCACTTTATGGCTCACATGACTGCAGCTCTCCATTTTTTTAGGATAATGCCATCGATGGTGACTAAGAATGAAAATGAAGCTTTCAGATTATGAAAAGTTTCTCTTGTGTAATTGCTTCATTTATTATAACTGCCAGCACCTGGCTCACAGCCTCCTGTTTCACTGTGGTAATGGTGATTTGTAATTTTCCAATGTAATGATTGCTGTGCTACAGCTGCATGTAGAGGTCACTGGTGGTCTTATAACAGGGATCTGTGCCTATATGAGTTAATAAGAGCTGTGTAGAGGCCATAGGACCCTTGGCCCTTCAGTTACCCTTTCATCTTTCTTTCTTTGACCGATTCATGAAGACTGTCACTGTACTGCCTCCTAAGGCCAGTGAAGATCTGCATTCAGTCTCTGTAGGAAGTAGGATTAATACTGGTCAACTGTGACATTTAGTTTCAATGCCAACTTCAGTGCTAATGCCGTTTATGTTGTGTATTTAATGCTCCATCTCGGACCAACATTTAATGTTTGCTTTTTAAGAACCGACTGACCTAAAGCAAGACCATCATTGTTGTTAGCATGGCTAAATATTGCCACTGAATGTAATTCAGGTTGTTGCAGGATTGTCTGGTGTCAATGTTTGGCTTGGCAAATGTGTCAAGATTTGCAAAGGAAGTGGAGGAAAATCCTGTAAACTCAAAAACCAGGGTGCTAAGAATAAACTGTCATTTTTAAAAATTATTATTTCCTGGAGATTTTTGCGTTTCACCTCAGTAGGATTCAAACCAGCATTGCTGCCATTACACACCCTGACCCATGCTAAAGGGTCTTTGAGCAAGACATCAGGTCTATCCTAGTCTACACAGAGCTCCCAGTCTGTAGGTGGAGCAACAAAGCAGCAGCTCTCCACATGGATCATGGCAGTATCAGGCTACTGTTAGGTTACTATTAGCGGCCTGTGTGGGGGAGACATTGCTGTCACTATCAGTGTGGCAGCAGGTCTAGAGGATGTTAGGCAGCTGGAGGCTTTTTCTGTCACTTTGAGTCTTTGTCAGTGTTGCCACCAAAGTGCAACCTTCACGATGCCACTAGCTTCCACTCCAAGCTCCACATTCAGAGCATCTGTGCCCTGCCCTGAGAGCTCTGGAGGCTAGCATCAAACTGCTTTATTGACCCATATGTGACGTTTGCACTATTCCCCAAACCCTGGTGTTGCTGCTGTCTTCCTTGTGGTGTTAACTTGGGCGATTGTAGAAGTTTGATGTAAGATCAATTTTTGCGTATCCATCACTCCCATTTATCTCTGTTCAAAACAATCACATTCTCCTCCTGGTCTTAATGAGCTAAAATCGCATAATTATTTCAATTCATGTAAGATGTATTGTTTTAAGTGTGTTTCTTGTTGAAAAGACCATGAGCAGATGGCGTGTCATTGATTGGTTATGATAAGCACTGATATGATAAGCGCGCCATCCTCAGAGCTACAGTTAGAGCTCCTCTCAGTGACTCCTGGTCATAAAACACAAGTACATTATAACTGCTGGTCCCACAAACTAACCTCACACAACCTCATGACTGGTCAGTCAGGGGAGCACTGTGCATCAGCAGTGCAGAAAAATGACTAATAATCCTTTTGCAGTATTTAACACTGGCTGGTATGAGGATGAGAATTTTTTTAATTAACACTAATTCACATTTGTGATACTCTGCTCACATTTTAATGAGTCACCACTGATCTGACAGTAAAGATTTAGAGCAGCTTTCACCTCAGAATCTCTGCTGTGAGACCAGAGTGAAGAGGAGATGATTTTAACAAGATAAATTACAATAATCATTCTCTCAATTTCACTGTCAATATCAAAGAGAGCTTTGTGTGTTTATTAATTATGCAGCCATGTTTTGAATTGGTATACCAGCATTCGTGTAGCAATAAATAAAAAAAACATCCAGTCCATGTTCCAGATACTATTGTTTAAATAAACTTCTTTAGTTTCCCCATTGTTAGTCCTGGTTAAATAAAATGTAAAGGGTAGGCAGCATAAATAATTTATGGTTTCCAAAAGGAAGTTATGAAAGGAAAAGTTTCAGGACCACTGCATGAATTTATAATAGGAATACTGATTAGTTGCAGTCCTAATATAATGCATATTGCAAGTGTGCCTATTCGAATTTAAGGATTTTCTACAGTAAGCAGCTTCTTCACAACTACAGTATATACAGCTCATATTAAGGTTAGTGTAGTGTGTTCACGTGTAAAACAAACAAAACAGCATGCACGGCTGACACAAAAACATTCATAAGCACATACACTGCCCAGCACTGATCACTGCAGACACCACAGCGAGCAGATGGATTGACCATGAGGGGTAACTGAGGAAAAAATGAGAGGAGTGACAGAGAAGGAGGAGGGGTGAGAGAGGCAGAATCACTGAAGAAGCACAAGGGAGCTTGTGAGAGGGAGTGTGCAGGACAAATACTGACAGGCTAAGACTCAGACAGTGAGAAAGAGGGAGCTTGCAGCACCTGAGCAGCAGCAGAAGCAGCTTCATTAGCATCAGGACGAAGAGTCTGTCACTGGCAGCCACACTGGGTATCAAATATATAAACTGCTGCTGCCGCTTGTGGAGTAGCACAGGGAGGCTACAGCGGAGGGAAACAAGGCTAGACCCAAAGCTCGAATGAGAGGATGAGAAGCGCTGCAGTCTCCTGACTCGCACTGGAAGTGAGCCTCAGTACCTGCAGCGACAGTCTGAGCACTCACTGAGCTATCAAGGAGACTAGAGCAGACGGGGAGAGAGTTGCTGAGATTATGCGCGGGGCAGAGAGCTCCTGTGGATTCCCCATCTTTGGCAACAGCAGCAGCAGGAGCTGTAGCATAACAAGGAGCTCTGACTCCAAAGACATTATTTTATTCAGAGATTATGGTAGCATTTACAGCCAAGGTGTAACAGGAACCAGCTGTCACAGCCACAGTGTTGAATGTAGCCTGAGTAGTTACGGTAGCTGCAGCACTGGTGCAAAGGTGACCACAGCAGTGCAGTCAGGTGTAGTTGTAACAGTAGTGGGAGGCGCAGTGGCTCAGGACACTGAATGACCAGTGTGGCTGATGAAGGCCACCTGGATCCGCTTGCTGAAACGAGCCAAGGGAGGTCGCATCAACAGCTCCGATGCCTGCGTAAGATAATTTTGAGTGTGTTTACATGCTGAAGGTTGGTGTTTTTGTTTGCATGTGCTTGAGTCTTGTGCAGTAAATCTATGTGCGGCTAATGCATCCATCAGTCCATAGTGTTGGAGGTTAGTGTGGGACGGTTTTGTACTGCCTGGTGATGATGAACTACCGGATTTTGTCATCAATTATAGCTGACAGATTCTAGGCAGAGCTCCATATTATCTCCCTCTGACCTACTGGGACAGTGTTCTTGATCACACCCAATCATTAGTCGTGACCTGATGGAATAATCATTGCAGTCCAGGCTCATTCACCTGAGCTTTTCAGCAACAGATGAAGCTCATAAAACAGAAACTAAGGTACCTTAAATAGCTAGTTTAGGACATTTATATCCTTGTATGGATGTACTGCATGTTACACTTGACCAGAATCCCAAGCAAAGAACTCCAAAGACGTGATACATGGGTTAGATGCTTATTGCTGGCTAGATGACTGCTTAATTGTGATGACAGCAAAAGCAGCCCATTGATAAATTTTAAGTTATTTTTATCAGATAAAGGAACACTGGACTCTACGAAAGAGTCCACAAACACATTTAACAAGCAGTGACACAAACAATTAACAAGCACCAGGGTTTCATGTTAGATGCCGGACATACTTGTAGATAGGAATAACCTTGTATTATGTACAGTACGCAACAACACTCGTGTCATCTTCATACATAAGTCAAGTAACGAGTGGAGGAGAAGGAGAAGAATGATCCTCCTTTGTATGTATGTGATGGCAGGCACAAAGTGAGGGAGGCTATTTTTAACTTGGAGTGTAATGCTGCAGTGAGATGAATGGAAAAACCTTGTGTGGGTGGCATAGTAGTGTGCAGGTAAATATAAGGCGCACACTGCCCTCACTTAGTTAAAAATTACTGCTTTCATTTTTAGATCCTGATTTATCCCTAACTCAGTTGTGTCAAAAGGAAAATTATTCTGCAGTGTATGTGCAAATGTTGCTGCTCATTCCCACAAACACATTAATTAAAGAGATTAAATTAAATTACAAAACTTTCATTCCAGTTTTTGTATATGCCAAAATAGTAGATAGATTTAGAGGATGAAATATCAACATTAAACAGCTAACTAGCCTAGCTTCAAGGAGAATCTAACTGCCAAACCAGTTAATGGAATTCTTGACCTGGTATAGTTAAACAACTTTTATTTAACTGCAATAAATTGTTAATTAATAGTCTACATTTCAATATAACTTTTAAGAAATGGTACAGAAGATGCACACTTTGTTTGCTAACACAGTTTCTTCCCTCATAATCCTTAGCTTTCTGAAAAGCAGAGTGCAGATTTAGGTTTTGTCTAACATGATCTACATTATATCAATAATTTGTTTGCTGTTGTACAGTATTCAATCTAAAACGACATACAATTAAGGTTTTGACAAGCCAAATTTTTATGCCTCTGTGCCGGCGATAGCCACGGCTGGAGGCATTATGCATTCAGGCTGTCTGTCTGTTCATCTATCCAGCCCATTCTTATGAACGGGATATCTCAGGAACGCCATTTGGACTCAAACATGCACTGATTAGATTTTGGTGGTCAGTGGTCAAGGTCAGTGACCCCATGTCTGTCCCATTCCTGTGAATTTGACTGGTTGGCGGAGCACAGAACTACTAAGCAGTAATTCTAGTTTATATATAGCCCAGTATCACAAATGTGCCTCAAGGGGCTTTACAATCTAAATAACATACAACACGTTCTGTCCTTAGATCTCTGACATGCACTTTATAAGGGAAAAAATCCCATCCCTCTATTACACAGTTTACTCAATGAGCCTGAAAACCTGAAACTATTTTTCTCCTTTTTTCAAGTTCATGTTCTGTATAGGTATTACACTCTGCTTTTGTAGGCTACAGTGGTTTGTATAGCAGGCACAGGCAAGCATTGCTTTATCTACTTAAACAGTTATTTATAGTGTGTTTCAATGTTGCATATATGAAAATAAAAGTGGGCATGTGGCTGTAGCAGTGCACTGTACTCAGGACTGTGTGCACCGATATGTGTGAAGATGGTTGTTTATGAGTAGGTCTGTTGCAACCACATATGACACAGACATACCAGGTCCTGGTGTTCTTCAGGGTTTCCCCCAAACAGCAGATCTTCAGGAGCAGTTGAAAGAAGACTAAGGATGAAAGAACAGCTGCTGGTGGCATTGTCTCCAGTATCTTCAAGATTTTGTGAAGCCAGCAAATTGACATAGCTAAGTTTCATTGTACTGTATGTGTGTCGCTGAGGTTCTGCTGTTTGTTTTTGCAGGGTTCGGCCGACTCCTACACCAGCCGTCCATCAGACTCCGATGTGTCCCTGGAAGAGGATAAGGAGGCTTTGCGCAGAGAGGCAGAGCGACAGGCCCAGGCACAGCTTGACAAAGCCAAGGTTGGTATCTAAAACCAGCAGCACTATGGTCACTGTGTCCAGTTCCTGCCTACTGAAGCATGGCCTCTGTGGGCTCCAACAGGGATGTGTAAGGAGTATTTTAAACTGGGGTCCATTCAGTTTTGAGTTTCAGACTTTGAGATTGAGGACATTTATGGAAAGTGAGAATTTTTTATTTGTCTGGTCTAGTGGTCTGTTTAAGTGTTGGATGTCCCTGTGGCACAATGAAGCAATGTTTTGAGGCAAAATAATACAGATTCCTGCCACTGGTCTCATGCTAGCAATGCATGAACAAAGGCAGTGAAGAAGAAGATGGCTAGCTAGTAGATGGCTAGAAGATGAATGTAAATATTGCACAAATAGTCAAATCAGTTTTGCAGGTGTTTTAAAAGAAAGGAATTAAGCTTGATATGTTTTGTTAGACATGTTTCTAGGTTTCTTACTGGAAGATGACAAGTGAGTTGACTTCCTTTTTGGTCTCTTTTCTTAGGCCTTCATGTTTTTCTATTTTTATTATAACAAGCAACTCAGATATTGTATTTTCCTCCCCAGCTCAGTGGAGATTTTAAGGCATATCCTATCACTGCTATGCTGATGATATCTAACTATAAATCTCTTTTAACTGTCAAAGTATGACAGAATTGTCTGTTTAAATGTCTGTGTAAATACAATAAAAATGGATGGCTAATATCTTTTTACAGCTCAGTGCTGATAAAATGGAGACATTGCCCACTGCTGTTGTTTGTCCCTAAGGTGCAGGAACAAGACCCATCTCTCTAGACTTGCTTTTGAATGGCATTCTTATTCTTTTGAAGTTTTTAGTATCATATTTTTGTTATTGGGGGCAGCTGTGGTTTAGCCTCTGACTGTAGGGTCAGAGGTTTGATCCCCAGCTTCTCCAGTCCAGTCAGTGTCCTTGGGAAAGATGCTGAATCCCAAGTTGCTCCTGATGAAATCATCATTGTGCAAGTATGTGAATATTTGTGGGTGAATGGGCAAATAGTCTAAAGCATTTTCAGTGTGTAGAAAAGCAATATTTTAAGTCCGTTTTATATATATATTGCTTTTCTTATAATATGTATACTGTAATTCTGTTTTTGTATTGATCTAGAAAGGTGTTCTATAAATAAACTTTACTTGGTTACTCACCACTCCCACTCTTAATTTTTGAAACAACAATAGTAACTCATATGGTGTTACTAATCCTGGAGTAAGATTTTGTGGACAATGCTGCAGGACTGGCTAGGTGACTGTAATAGAAGCAGAATATTGCAGCCAATTTCGGCTGGTTTCTCAGATGAAAAAGGGCTATTAGGGGCCGCTGATGTGAGTGGCTGGGGCCTTGGAGGATTCAGCGTCACTGTTTGTCAGAGCCAAGCCTCATCCGCTCTGCTCAGGGCTACAATTAGCAGCATAAACAAACACACAGACGGCAGAGCAGACTCGCCTTTGCTCAGCAGACATTGCAATCAGAGCTCACTTCCACAAAATCATTCAAACTGCTGCACTGTTAAGATGTATGCCTTTGATCTGTAAAATAATTTCTGTCTTCTATGCATACTCTGTTCTCTTCCTGCTTTACAGATCACAGAGTGTTCTATTTTTGCATGTTAATTTTAAGCAAGTGTCTGAAAAATTGATTTATTGTCTTTAGCAGCTAGTGCGTTCATTAGCTTTAAAGTTCAAAGCTTTTGGCTATCCATCTATTCAAGCCGACATTCCCCTCCTCTCTGGCTGGCTCATAGCTGGCAAAGACAGTTCATTCCAGTAGATCTACTATGCTGTTATTTTCTAGAGGAACCCTCTATGGCTCAATAATTAAGAAGATAAGTTGTCTATATAGATAACCTGGCATAAATGTCCCCCACTAGCATTTTACATGACAGATGACTAGTAAAAAATAGCCTCACAGTGGTCCGAACATCAGAGAGTGAGTAGGCTGGGGTCAGAGGAAGTGCAGACGCTCTGACTGTGAGCCTTTATGGTCAGTAATTCACAACTACTTTCCTAACTACCATTGCTATTTGTAAGGAGTGAAAATATGGTTGATGCCTGCAGTGTTATGTACAAAGACTTCTCATTGCCCTGAGTGCTACTCATGGCATAAAAAGCAGTTTTATAATGACTCCTGTGGCTCTGGAACACGTCATGAGGGGGTTATCTTAGGCTGGGTTTAGAGACTACTCATTTTAACTCAAACCCTGCATTTCATAGGGCCCACTTTGATAGCTGAGGGCTCTTACCAGCCAGGGAAGGATTAGTGAAAAGATGCTCTAGAGTTTCATATAAAGTACTATATAGGATCTGGGGGCTGTGGAGCTTGACCCATTTTATTTTAAGTTTTGACCTCTGCTGCATTAATTTCTATTTTTTTTTCATTTGTCCCCCAAACTTATGTAAGTCCAGTGCTGAGAGTATAGCAATGTCTGTGTCCTATTCAAACTTTGTGTGTCAAAATGTCAGTTGTGTATTAAATGAATATATTTGTATAGTGAGCAAAAATTGTTTGTTGCTGAGATTTTATAGCAGTGTTTGAAAATGTGTGGAGTATTATTCTGGTCCTGTTTTACAGTATTAAACAGTTGCCAGTGACCATTCAAGGCAGAGGTCTTCTCACCTGCTCCCTCTGTGTCATCTCATTAGTGATTTATTTAAACTAGTGTCAGAGACTATAATCTTTGTCAAGGCACTGTTCTGGTTGGGGCTTCACTGGATTTAAAGCCATGTATTGAAATTTTATAACCATTTTCTGAAATTATTTTTCTAAGTTGTTTATGTGATAAAATTTTGTAGGTCAGAGTCAAAGTCACTTTAAAGAAATCACTTCACAAGCTCCAACTCTCCAGCAGTAATGGATAGAACATGTGTTTTGTTGAATTAGTGTATGTATATTACAAAACATTACAAAATATATGATAGAAAGCAAAACACATTCCAAATATAAACTTCAGGCAAACAAATAAAAAAAAAAGACTGCAATGGGTTAGTCGCAAACATTAACAGCTTTCATTTATTATTGCTTACTGTGTAACTAAGTGAAGGTTATGGTTCCCCTCATGCCACATAAAAATACATTTTACAGGCTCTTAGTACAGCCTAAGCCCAGTGCACAACGATGAAGAAAATTGCTATTATAAAATTGATCCATGTCATTCAGGATGAAACAAATCTTGATTTACAGCATGAGAGCTTGTGTGTGCTGCTAATGGAGAGGCTGTGGCATATTACAATGGACAAATCAGCAGCAAGAGTGGCTGTTCACTCAGTATAAGTACAGAGAAGACTAGACAATATTATCTAATGAAATATGCATGGCGTGATGTGATATTGTGATGAGTATCGTTGGTGTTAATTGGCTGTGGTCCTTAGAGCTGCCTCCCAGGGGTTCCAGTTACAGATGGAGCTTCTCCGGAGCTGGATATCTCTCTCATCTGTAGTCTCTGCCTCTTATCTCCATAATTGTCCCGCCTCCTCTCTTGTCCTCTCCTTGCTCTCCTCTGTCCCATATTCTGCTTTCCATGTTCATGTCCTTTGCCTTTTTTTTAAGTGCCATCATGTACACATCCTCCAGTTTTATGTGATTCAAGGTGGCATGTTAGGATATGCATGTGTGAGTGATGGCCTACAGGTCAGTAAAATGCCATTACGCCTATGGAAGGTTTCATCTGACAGGCACCCATGATGGATAAAAGAAGAACACCTGGGAAGGAGAAAAGATGCAGCAGGCCATGAGACAAGTGGTAGAACAAATACATATGTGTACAACTAGATCTTCCTGCAGCCATGTGAAGCAATGCATGCAAACACCAAGGACACATTGTCCTCTAAAGGTCCCAACACTGCACACACTGAACTTTGTCCTCTCAGTAGAGATGTCCCAAGCACTCTCTCTCTCTCTCTCTCTCTCTCTCTACATACATATATATACACACACACTTGCAGCTTAAAGTCATCACTCCATGGAATATTTACATCAGTCATCACAGGTAAATGATCCCAGGAGGATCTCACTGATGTATTAGTTCCAGAATTCCTCACTGTATTTACTTCACACATGACATGTTGTGTTTCAGTGAGGCATTAGTGGATAAAGCCATGATGGAGGAGAACGCTCAGTCTCTGCAAAGCCCCTCCTGGACCCTACTGATAGATTACTCCCACAATACTGAGCTTCACTGTTCATTGGTCTCAAGTAGCATTCACATCCAAGCAAATTCAATAAATCCCACTTTGGTTGGTAAAGGTTGAAGGCGAACTGGCAAGTGCTGCATGAATTATGTTTGTTCTCATTTTGTCCTTATGTTGCAAATAAGTGATTTTGTCGCCACTTGGGAAAATGAAAACCATACACAAGCACTTCACCTGTTATGGTGACATGACCAACCCGTAATACTGTTAACAGATAGAGAGCAACATTTTCATTCATTTGGAGCTCTCAATTTGCTGCTGTTCCAGCTGAATATTTCACACATTTCCCCTCATCTGGCTTTCTTTCATCTGCAGGTGAATATTTAGTGTGTGCACTGGGAGATTACTCTAAGCTACATCTGAGCATTTGTTTTGGTAATCAGCTGGCTTCCGTCATGCTCATCACACAGTCAGGCAGAGCAAATATAATCTGGTTGAGGGCATGACCATGTTGCAGCTGTTGCTGCCATCACTGCCAGGATGACTTTGAGATTATATCCAAAAACATTTTATATAATTCTTGACATCTCATGTGGGTATATTCTATCCTTGGAACAAAAGTACAGAAATCTAGTGCAAAGAATTTGCTTTATATTTTTTGCCTTTTACAAGTGCCTTTTTGTAAAAATGCAAAGGGCAGTGGGGATTTACATTTGGTATTGAAGTGGTTACTGCCACAAACACTAACATTTCTCCATTCTGAATTGTAAGGTTTCGAGCATTTTAGCCTGTAAAAGAGACAGTGCAGCAGCCAAATCATTCATGCAGATATAGCTAAACTAAGGCTGGATGAGTCAGAGCCTGCTTGTATTTTTACACCATGTGCAAAGATGAGAATCACAGCTCTAATTTTGCACAAAACAATCAAAACTTTTATAGGAACCAGTCTCCCCTCTTTTGTAGGTATTTTGATGTTATGGGTTGGGATTGTTTTCCAATATTGATGCAGTTGCTACAGACACATTTGTATATTTTGCATTTTTTTCCACTTATCTCTCTCCTGTGTTCCTCCTCCTTTGGCAGACCAAGCCAGTTGCATTTGCTGTTCGCACAAATGTCAGCTACAGCCCGAGTCACGATGATGATGTCCCTGTGCCCGGCATGGCCGTCTCCTTTGAGGCTAAAGATTTCCTCCATGTCAAAGAGGTGAGCAGTTCACTTTTCAATTAGACATGATATTCAAGATAGAGGTGTAATACTAGTGTTACATAGAATTACTTATTACAATATATATGTTAACCTCTTGCTCTTATTTTATTTTTATCTATTTGTTTCTTGGTAAATTATAATCGGGAGGAAGGAGGGTGCTCAAAATAATTTTTTTTTTAATTTTATGTAGAAATTTAACAACGACTGGTGGATAGGACGTCTGGTGAAAGAAGGCTGTGAAATCGGTTTCATCCCCAGTCCAGTGAAGCTTGAAAACACTCGTATCCTCCAAGACCAGAGAGCCAAACAGGGCAAGTTCCACTCCAGGTAAAAAGCTTCATTGTCACCAAAGTCCTTTGTCTTGACTCTGTGATCATGTAAAATTAATTTAGACTTCCTAAGAGTTAGTCAAGCTCATATAAAAAAATTATCTTTCTTGTTCTAGTAAATTGGCAGCAAACTCATCTTCTAGTTTAGGTGAAGTGGTTCCTAACTCACGAAAATCTACTCCTCCTTCGTCTGGTAAGTCATTGCAGAGGCAAATTTTAAAACCCCATCTTCATTCTTGATAAATGTCTTGATCTTTTAAACCCAGTTTTAGCCACAAAATTTAAGTTGAAGGTAAGATTCAACACTTAGATTTTCCTGCAGTAAAGCTGTCATTTGTGTTACTTTTACTTGTTTCATTAGATCTCTCTGTGTAGTAGCTACATTTTGTGTCATTGTCAATGTGAAATGTAGCCTATTACCCGTGTCCTCCTGTGTGATGTGGTTTTGTCTGTCTGTGTGCGTAGCTATTGACATAGACGCCACAGGCTTAGACCCTGAGGACAATGAGCTACCCATCAACCTGCGCTCCCCTAAAGCCAGTCCAAACACTGTCATGTCACCCCTAGCAAAAGAGAAACGAATGCCCTTCTTTAAGAAGGTAAACTCTGGGCTACCGCACCTTCTCTTCTCTGTCCGTCTGCACGACCCTGTGGCTGTCTGGCCTCACTCAGCACCCGTCCTGTTTGTGTACACCACCGTTCTAGTCCCTCGACCTGCACCCGTCCGTTAACATGCATGCCTGTTCTTAACCTCTCTCTTTCTCCTTCTCCGTCTCACCACAGCTAAGCAGAAGCAGAAGTCGGTAAGTTGTGGTGCGCTGTGCACCAGCTCAGCAAGACCTGGGGATGACATTGCTGGTCTGATCTGTACAATACATTATATGATTTCTCTGCAGACACTCACGTCTGTAGTGACATCTCAATTTACTTACTACTCCTGCACTCTTCTGTCTTGTGTTTGTGAGACTTTCTGTTGAGTAAACTTGTGACCCTGACTGAGTGAGACCTCAGATTGAACAGCTTTTTAATAGGCTAGACGATGTCTGCTTTTTCATTTTAAAGGAATGGTTAGCTTAACTCAGCTTTGTAAAAGGACTGGGAAAAAGCTGGAAACACCCGGTGAGCTGGCATATAGCTTCCTGTAAAGCCACAATTTGTTTTTAGTTGTGTTTGTGTTTAAACAAACAAGATAGAAACCGTTGAGCTTTAGAGGTACTGACAGGCGGATTTGTGTTACCTTCATACACACCCTGGCTAGCTGTTTCCTCCTGTTTCTAGTCTTTTTGCTAAGCTAAAGCCACAGTCTGCTGGCTGTAACTCTATATTGAATGGACTGAAATGAAAGCGGTATCGATTTTCCCCTCCAACTTTAGACTAGAAGTCAAGAAAGTGCATTTCTTAAAAGTCTTTCAATTTGTCACTGGTACCTCTCATTTAAAAACAGTCCCATTTTTCACATTTTGTTTTAAATCATTACAGTTCTAAAACTGCTCTAATAAACATTTCAGGTCAACTCCAGTACTCAATCTGAGGCTGTTACACAAACCTGAGCTCCCACTTTGTCCCAACAGCAATGAGCAGGGTTTTCTACCTGTGTCCTAATTTCCTAATTTTTAGCCATTTCTGTAGCTTGTGTTGATCTGTTGGTCTCTCCTCTGACTAAACGTTCCCTTTTCACCCAATGACATCAGAACCATGAAATGATAAAATGAATCATTAGTGTGTCATTTTCTGTAACCTGCTTTGATAATGTGACAATCTGGTGTTAAAATTGGTTAAGTAAACTAACAACTTTATTAGAAATCAAAGCTTGCTGGTGTTTGGTCACAATAGCCAATGTCCCATCTCATGGTCCAAAATATTCCAGTACCTTTAAACTGTCTAGTTCTTTGTTGGTCCAACTCTTCAAGTGATTTGTGATGGTATGTTTACTCTCTCTCCATAATGAGTGCAACTGTTCTTCTTCTCCTCCTCCTCTCTAAAGACGGAACACGTTGTTCCATACGATGTTGTGCCTTCCATGCGGCCCGTGGTTCTGGTTGGACCATCACTGAAGGGCTATGAGGTGCGTCAGAGCTTTCACATTTCAAACTTGACACAGTCTTTGTTGTTCATCTTTGAAATTAAAATATTCCTTTTTTATCTCATGAATTTCCTGTCTACAGGTGACAGACATGATGCAGAAAGCACTGTTTGACTTTATGAAACATAGATTTGAGGGAAGGTAAGTTCCTGATGGCCATTTAAAATCCTTCTTCCTTCCTCATTTTTGCTCTCTCCTGGACTCTATAGGCTGATATTTATCTGAGGTTACCAGAGGGAGTATGTAACAAGTTTGTTTGGCCTCGAGATGTGGGCTGCTGCTTTAAATAGTGCCTCTTCATGTCCTTAATAGGCCATAGTGGGCCCTAGAGCAGAGCAGGATTCTCCTTACTCAAAGTCGAGTCCATACAGCCATCCAGAGTTTAAAGGCAATGAAGTTACACAGTGCCAGGCTATAAGCAGCTGCAGGAAAAACTGTTTATTCCCTTTTGAGCCCTGTTCTTTAAACATGGTTTAACAAATACAGACTAACATATTGTTATCAAGCTTCTCATCCATCTAATTTGGTTCTTCGAAAGCAGTCAGAGAACTGAGGTGTCAGGTAAATTATCTTGAATAACAATGCACTCTTATTTTGAAAGGAAACACTAGCAGAGATTGTATACCATACAAGTGCACATGTCTTCCCAGCATGTACTGGAGTAACACAGCCATACACATACAGCAAGTCTGATTTTATTATATCCCCAGCAGAAGCAGTAAATAAAATACACAGTCCCAGAGCTTTACAAGATGCTGAGTGCTGATGGACTGTAACTTTAACTGTGGTAAACAGCAGTGCTGTGGCTACACACTGACATTGATACTGCTAGCTGAGCTACAACACAAGTACCCATGCAGCGACTCTCTCAGTGGGACACAAACACACCTGTAGTGACGGTCAGAGTTCCACCAGATTCTGCAGTGGAGAAAAGTGGCTTCACATGGCTGTTACCTCTGACTCTGTCTCTGAGCAGTGGTCAGTGTCCCCAGTGTCAAACAAAGCTAATTCAGTTATACATCCCTGTTTAAATGATTTTAACAAATCTACACCTCTGTTCTGTGTGTTTTAACTCTCCATCATTTATCTTTAACTCTTGATTTCCTGAAACAGTTTTCTTTTATTTTTGGTCTTAATTTACTGCAAGAGCAAGTGCATGTTTTGTATTGTCCAGATAATCAACTGTTTTCTTGTCCCTTGTTTTAGAATATCAATCACACGTGTCACAGCGGACATCTCTCTTGCCAAACGCTCAGTCCTGAACAATCCCAGTAAGCATGCCATCATCGAACGCTCCAACACACGCTCCAATTTGGGTGAGTCTGAGCATAATATCACAGCAATGCCTGGGAACATCTGGTGTTTCAATTCATAATGTTTTCAAGAAAGGGCAGCATGGTGGCACAGTGGTTCTCACTGTTGCCTCACAGCGAGAAGGTTCTGGGTTCGGGCCCCACCTGGGACCTTTCTGTGTGGAGTTTGCATGTTCTCCCTGTGCTTGCGTGGGTTCTCTCCGAGTACTCCGGCTTCCTCCCACAGTCCAAAGACATGCAGCTTAGGTTGATTGGTGTCTCTAAATTGCCCATAGGAGTGTGTGTGTGTGGTTGTTCGTCTCTGTGTTAGCCCTGCGATGGATTGGCGACCTGTCCAGGGTGTACCACGCCTTCGCCCGATTGCCGGCTGGGATTGGCTCCAGCCCCCCTGTGACCCCATTCAGGGACTAAGCGGTAGAAAATGAATGAATGAATGTTTTCAAGAAGACCAGCTTATGTGGAAAAGGAAGGAAACGATTAAAGAAACTCTTGACAATGGTAATGATAACTCCCGGAGTGGCCTTGGCCGGTTTTTGCTTGTTAGGAATGAAAGCCAGAGCATGAACATACAATAAGTTCACAAACCGCTTTAATATGAGTGAGGTTGATTGGAGTTTAGATGTGATTAGAATGGACCAGAGTCAAACAGAGGTGACAAGACTAGTCTTTACTATGTATCAGTTCAACACACCAGTTAGTGACTGCAGCAGAGCACAAAGTCCCTGGAAAAGCATTTGCTGGAAACAAAAGGTATCTGTTTCTCAGTTTTTATCATTACACAGACTCACCACACTAGAACTTGATATGGCCTCAGTCATTTTCAAAACCTTCGAGTGCAGCTGTCTCAGGAAGAATTCCAAATAACCTTTAAGGTAAAAGCTCCATCAACTCTACTGTCTTTTTTAATGATGCATTAGGAGCCAGGAGCTAAAGATTGCACTCCTTTTTTACCCAAAGCTTTTTGAGCTGAGTGTCACTTGGAGTTTATTTAGTCATTTAACTGGCATCCTTACTCTTCATCTTACTTAACAAGACATCTTGTGTTCTGTTCAACCTAAAAAATCATCTTCCTGGCAAAAGAGCTGGCTTTTGATATTCGTTTAAAATGTAAATCAGCATTTTTCATGAATTTCCTTTAAACTAAAACTGACAATGTCTTTATGTTAAATTTAAGATATAAATGATTTCAGAGAACGTCTGCACTGGAAACAAGTCAAATTATCTCACTCCTCAGGCATATCATAGCAGGAAAATGAGAATTCGTGACTTAGTCACTTGTCTAAATGAGCTGTTAGGTTGGAATGTTTTCCTGTTATCAGTTTATTTCAGACTTTGTTGTGACTGAAAGTCATGAAGCTTGGTACTTTGCACTGCTGTGAAATTTGTATGATTGTTTTTGCAGCCACATTGTTATCTGTTAGAGAGGGGGTTGTGCGATGTAATAGTCGGTATTGGGTAGAGGTAACACAACACTCAGCTCTCCCTCTCAGAGCTATTAGTCTTTAAGCCTTGTCCTGAAGTCATGATGTCTTTTGAATGTTTAAGTCTCAGTGAACATAAAAAAATGATTGTCACTAAATCAATGATGCATATTTACTGTACATACATGAGTGGCATCAAACTTCTCATCTAACTCAAACTATTCCTTAAATTTATACAGAAGAGAGAAGAGAGTAGGTTAGAAAAGCATGACCTCTGCATTAACCCTCACTCTTTCTTTGCCTTTAGCTGAAGTCCAAAGTGAGATCGAGCGGATATTTGAACTGGCACGGACGTTACAGCTGGTGGTTCTGGACGCTGACACTATCAACCACCCGTCACAGCTGGGGAAGACTTCCCTCGCCCCCATTATTGTCTATGTCAAGATCACCTCTCCCAAAGTGAGCAAAAACCATATTTGACACAGTGAATACAGTTAATGAGACACAAAGAAAAGAGGGAAACAAATGCACATGTCCTGGATCCGTCCACTATGACAGAAAATAAGGACAGATTGATGATGAAACCAGCTGAGTTGTTGCTTCCTCTGCACTCACAGATGTATTAGTCATCCCCACAGGTTTATGAGTGTCTCTGGTTGTTGATGTGTCTTGTCACTGCTCATATTGTTTTCCTGTTAACTGAGCTGCTCCCTTGCTGTGATTTTAAACACAGCATGTCAGACGTGACTGCTTGTTTGAAAGTGAGCAAATGCATGAGGGAACTGATTCATCACTGTGACCTTCAGCAGGCGTAAAAAGGCTCATGATTCACTGATTGATAAAAACAAGTATTTAGGGAACAGATAATGAGAAAAAGTAAAGCTAAAGAGACAAAGTAGTAATGGTGTGAATCACACTGGGATAAAGTAAAACTTTACCACCTGTCCTCTTAATTACATGATATCCTCCTGCCATGTATATAGAGCTACCCTGAAATGCATAATGACAGCATTTTTTATTTAATTTTTTTTACAAAAGTATCAAGTAATTTTAAAATGTTACCTGTGCAAGCAGTGGAAGAAGTACTGAGATCATTTACTGAAGTACCAATATAACAATGTGAAAATAATCAAAGTAAATCGTGGTAATCAATAAATGTAAAAGGCACAGACATGTTCTTAAAGTATCAAAAGTAAAAATACTAATTCTGAAGATCTCAGTTCAGTGGGGGTTGTATCCCTTTCAAAGGGTCAAAAGATAAATGTGAGGGGTCGTGAGACGATGAACTGGATTACAACTGCTGTTAGATAAATGTTGTGGAATAAAAAGTACAATATTTCTCTCTGAAATGTGGAGTCGAGATATAAAAGAAAATGGAAATACCCATTCTACTGAAGTACACAATTTGAGTAAGTGTGCCTATAGTTTAGCTTTGTCTATTCATGACCTTGTTGCCTTCTGTCTCCATTTGCCTTCAGGTGCTGCAGCGGCTCATCAAGTCCAGAGGAAAGTCTCAGGCCAAACATCTCAATGTCCAGATGGTGGCAGCTGACAAGCTGGCTCAGTGCCCTTCTGTATGTCTCCACACTAGACCTGCTGACTCAAATCCAGTGTTAGAAATAACCCAGAGTTTTGTCCTTTAGAAAAGGTTTTGGTTCTAGGTTTTAATTTGGTGCAAATCATAATTCAGACTTTTGAAAGCTTTTTGATTCCTAGAAGTTCCATTTCTGTTCTTCTGTAATCTGCTTAGGTGTTACTTTAGAAAATGAAGCAAGTACTCTAAGGTTGTGAAAGTGCAGGTTTCACTGAATTCAGTCTACATCTTCAGGGAAATAAGGTTTGAGATTTTTTTTTCAAAATTAATGCTGAATGCAGCTTGGTCTTTATTTCAGTGTGTTTTTTCAAATATAGTTTGGTATTTTGTATTTATAAATATCAGTATGGTTTCTTTACAGATATTTTAAAGCTTCTGAGAACAGTCTTTTACTGTGAAATGCACTAGAGCACAGTCTTGTTTTCTTAACCTCCTCATATCTCCTTTGCCATGCCTTTATCTTTGAACGCTCCCTCTCCTCCTTTCTCAGGAGATGTTTGACATCATCCTCGATGAGAACCAGCTAGAGGATGCATGTGAGCATATGGCTGATTACCTAGAGGCCTACTGGAAAAGCACTCACCCCACCAGCTGCAACACCCCCAACCAACTAACGAATCTGCCCACAGACACCCTGCCCTCCAGCCCAACTCTGGTCTCTGGTGTACAGGTACAAGTGTTGAGCAGGCCTGGGGGCCTACAGAGGCCATGAATGATGGGGGGGATACCTGTAGCAAAGTTTTGCACACAAACAAAACAGGATGTTCACATTATCACCTGACATGGCCTAAAATTCAAAATCAGATCTAGGCCACATGCATACATACCCTACATCCACCAGTTCAATCTATTTAGAAAAAAAAAAAGGTTTCTGAAGTACTACATTGTAGGATTTACTCTTGACCAACCAAAAACTTTTGGAGGTCTCTATTAGAATAATTGTATAGTTGTAAAAACTGATTAAAACGTAATAAAAGTAGTGCAATAAAAGTCTGAGGTTTAGAGAAGGTAGACAGGAGGTGAGCGGTGTGTTTACATGAATTCCTTGATCTCACATCCAGTGGATTCATTTCTCTTGCTACTAAATGTCCCTAAGATGTTGACATTCTGTTAAAGGTCACATGAGTTAAATTATCTCTTGCTGATTTAATATCTGATTTGATAAGAATACTATTACATATTGTGCAGAAACACGTCAGGCAGGGAGAGAGTGGACCAAAATGCAGATAAGCAGGCTGGGGTAGCAGCTGAAGGATAATAGTTCATTAAACTAACAAGAACAGACAAACCCTACTGAGAGTCTTGGCAACAGAAAACTGAGTGATAACCAGAGGCAGAGTCCGAGCCCAGATGAGGGGCAGAAGTATCGAAACACTCTAAACCAAGCAAGAAATCCAGGAGAGCAGGTAAGAAGTAGAGTCCAATACAAGCAGAGTGCATGTACAGAAAAATCAGGGCACAGGTAACGTGAGGGGGCTGAAAAACAGAGGAAGATGGCTGCTAAGGTGTAGGTTTGAAGAGCAAGGGATCTCAGGCAGATGGCTCAAAGTGTGGCTGGAGAGCCGAGGAACAGTTGTGAGCTGGCGGAATGTCGGCTGAGGAGGCTGACTCTGGAGCTGGTGTGATGTCATTGAAGAAAACCAGCTGCTAGGAAGCAGAAGTGACTGGAGAGGCCAATCCAGAAAGAAATGGCTCGAGTTCAAGGGGTGACCAGGGAGGGTGACCCAGAAGCAGACAATGCGTCATTGTTGAAAGCCCACTCGGGAACAGGTTTGGGACTTTTGGGAACAGACAAGACACTGGTGGGGCCAACTGAGAGGTGGACTCAGGAACAGACGAGACAGTGTCCAATATAAGCAGAAGCCTTACACAGAAAACTACAGAATAAACAGGTTACAAAACAAAACAAGAACAGAGGTGACGAGAATGCTGAGGCTAGTAAGCACAAGTGCTACAGGGAGCACATTAGATGAATTGGTAAAGGTCAAAGGAAATAAACAAGAATATATACTGTGGGTGTGAAGAGGGGTGTGATGGGAGATGGAGTCTGGACTGGATGACAATGAAAAACAGGCGCACATGGCAGAACTGGACGGAAAAACCTGGAGTCTGGATGGGAAATGAAAGCCCACAGAAAAGTCCAGAAAGTAACAGAGCAGGGAAACACAAGGCAGAGACGACAGATATCTACTGTATTGTCATTTGAGTTATGTCACTTACATTATTTAAGTGTATACATGCTCTAAAATCTTTTACCTCTACTTTCTCTCCATCCTCTGCCATCACAATGGGAAATGTCAGACTGAAAATGAGGAAAACCCTGATAATGATGAGGAGCAGGAGTCAGCTTGACATGTTATTGCTAGTGTGGTGAGTGTGGTGAGGCCCTCAGATAAAGGGTTTTGAAACATCAGGAGCCAGAAATCCATGAAGGAGACCGTCTTGGTCCTGGAGACTGACAAACAAATGCTGAAAATACACAACTAAGTTTAAATCCTCCAGGACCACAGTTCACCTTCACTGGATGCTTGACATGCAAGTGTGTATTCAAGTATGACATTTTATGCTCTTAGTTTTTTTTTGTGTGAGTGAAAGAGCATATAAAGAACATGCACTTGTATGAAAAGGTACTAAACATTAGTGAAAACTGTGCGCACCAGAATCAGAAATAGTCGGGGATAAAAGTCTGCATGAGTTTTGTGTGTGTTTGAAGTGCCGCCTCTTGGTTTCTGTCACATTACTGACTGATGTATTTTACTAATCTCAGGGCAGCAGTGCAGAGCAGAAAGGAGATAAAGCCTTAGTGGAGAGGAAGGGCTCCAGGGAGGATCACCAGCAGCACCGTCACCACCACCACCAGAGCCAGGACCAGGCTGATGCTGATGCAGAGGCTGAAGGGGAGGGCAGTGTGGAGAAGAGGCCCCTGAGGACAGAGTCCTCCAGGAGGGCCCAGCACATCCATCACCGGTCGTCTTCCACCAGGACTGAGCACCACAACCACCAGCACCGCCACCACCACAACAGTAGTCGAGCCAGGGGACTTTCCCGACAGGAGACATTGGACTCAGAAACCCCTGAGAGCCGAGAGAGCAAGGACTCTGCTTATATTGAGCCACACCCTCAGCTCCTCCACCAGGACGAGGATGAAGATGATGAAGATGATGAAGATCTAGGGGAGGGGCACCCCCAGCAGCAACAGAGTTATGAGCCGCTGCCCCACCGGGACCACAACCACCATCACCACTGTCACCGTCATCGCAGTGGGGCTGATGAGGCCGGACACAGCACGGGACACCACCACTCCAAAGAGCGTGAACAGGACCATAACGAACGCAACAAGCAGCGCTCTCACCACCATCGGCTGGCACGTGACCACCATCGCTTCTATGACCGGGAAAGAGACAGGGACCAAGGGGGGGAAGTGGCTCCCAAAAAGAGGGGTGAGGCAGGGGAATGGACCAGAGACTCCTACATCCATCAGTGACAGACCAGACTTTCTTCTTAAAACCACTCAGTTTCCCATTGTGCTGCTATAACCTGAAACCACAGCATCCTATTTATGTACACCCTCTTTGTAAAAGCAGTTGCATCTTTTTCAGTGGCAGGGTATTTATTACATAGATACAAATATAAATACACGTATGTGTGTATCTATGCATAGACATTGTTTATGTGTGGATATGCATGAATATTCTCAAATATGCATATTTTAAACCCGGTTTGATAAAGAATGACACAAAAGCAGAATTATTTCTGTACTGAGCTTATTTTTATTGCCATTATTATTATTAGTTTTTTTTTTTTAATTGTGCTTGCTACCACTTGAATAATTTGTTCCTTCTGACTACTGCTGGAGTCACTTACCAGGGTTGACTGATCAAGTTTGTTTGATTCTTCATTTGCAGAAGACTTTTTTTCAATAGAATAGTTGACAGTTTCGGGAATTCACTTGTCTTTTTTGCTGAGTGATAAACTTAGTTGCCAGTTTATTAGATACACTTAGCTAAAACTATTGCTCTTTATTACAACAGTCCTGGAATAAATCTTCCTTCATGAAGATGATCAACATTTAAAGTTTTAACAAAAACTGAACATTCATGATGGGAAGACATTGCAGAAATGTTAATTTACACTACAATGGATTTTGCTAGGGGTGGCACAGCAGCATGGTAGTTAGCACTGTCGCCTCA